TGATTTCTCAGCCAGTAAATAGCAAAAGGAGTTTCACATGTTATCAGAGGAACTTACTCACTATCGATAATCTTTACAGGAAATTACTGTGAAGGGAGCAAGCCTGGCTCAGGAACAAACTTTGGCAATGCTACGCTGATAGCAGACTGCAAACTCAGCAGTAATGTGGGTTCTTCCAAGTTCCTCTCTAGTAATCTAATCAGCATCATTAATTCAGGAAACCTTTCAAGAACAGCTCAGGATGCCTGGGAACTCTAAGCTTCATGGTCCAAACATTTGTCTTGTTTAGTTTCCCTTACATGCCCTCTGTTTCACCAGCAACAAGTTAGGCTCCGCTGCTCAACATGGTGTTCAAGTCAGCATCATGTTTCTTTCCTGCTAGAAGCCCATGAGACTGGAGTTCCAGCAGCACTTTCAAACAGGATTCCCGAGGCTTAGTATTACACGTGGGACACGAAATTTGACCCTGTAAGCCTGCACACAAAAGCTTCTGTATTTGTGTCTGAATCTGGTGCTCAGCCAACTGCAGGAGAAACCGATTGAGGTAAATGAAGCAAGACATCAGTGATGAAGAGCTCTCCCAGGTCTGGAGTATTCCTAAATGCTTATGGGAGTGGATTTCTAGTGAAACTCTCACCCCTTAAGCTCTCCATGGCAGGCGACAGAGCTCTGTTCTCACACGAGCCATTGTGGGTGAGGACTCATCTTCAAGGGCAACAAAGCAAATAGTTTCTGCTCACACACACCTCATTCTTCAGGAGAGCATGCAGCCATGCCTCTTCTGCCTCCATCCACAAGAAATCCAAAAAAACTTGAAAAGATTTTGACAGTTAGATAGGATTAAAGCAAAAACCCGTATAGATTGTGGCCAGTCTAAGATCTCTTTGACAGCTGGGTGCAGACAGCAGAGGACTTCTGCCCATGCTCTGGGCTGACACGGCAGGATCCTGCTCTGATCCAGAGGCAGCTCAGCACTGCATTTCATGCATCATGTTTTGCCTGGCACTGGGTAATGCAGGACAGCTCCTGTGAGAAGAAGTAAGTGCCTTTCAGGGTGGGCAATGCTAATTAAATGTGCCTTCACGAGTGCCAGGGCAGGGCAGCTCAGGTCTGTCTGTACTTGCTTCCTACAAATGCAGGAAAAGAGCTGGAGAGACTCAGCCTTCATGGCTCCACGTCTTCAGTCCTTTCCTCTCAAGCTCACAGTAGCTTTTCTGTGCAGCAGAGCTCAGCAGGCTGGCTGCGTTGTCCATGAAAGCACAGGGTGTGCAGTCCTGTTGACTCCAACAGCACCGAAGTTCCCACTTTCCTGCTGGCCAGGAGGGACTGGTTTGGCACTGCTTAAAACAAGCCATAGATGCCATCAAACAATGCCCTGTGCCAAACAGGCACTTTCTGCTGCAGTACTCCAGCGCCCATCAGAAGTAAAACCTGCCCTGGCTTCATTAGTCTGAATTTTTCTACTTCCAGCTTCTGTATCTCATTTATGCCTCTTGCAGCAGCATAAGGCTCTGAATTAGCGAAGTAAAAACACATCTTCTTGCACAGCTTTAAACAAACTGAACCAAAAAGCTTGGAACATGGCCTTACACTCACGGCATGCTAGGCAGGTATTTGGTGATACAGCTCTACACCATGTCCTATGTAAGAACATGCTTCAGCACTTCTGATCTGGTTTATCTTTAAGGTGCTGCTGAGAACTCCTGACTCCCTTGGAATCTTTGACAGGCAGAATAGGAGTTAAAGTCAAGAGAGTGAGAAGATTGTTTTTGAGGAAATAATTCTTGGTTGGAGGGGAGGAGTTTGGAACGGTTGGAGCCCATGCCAATGCAATAACCTCAGGTTTCCCAGAGGCACTCAGAGGGGCAGAGAAGCAGGCACCTTGGTGGTGTCCCACACGGAGATGAGGGCCCAGCCCTCAGTGGCACAGCTCTGTCCTTGCCCAGTGTCAGAGCAGGGCGAGTGGGTCACAGAAAATCGACAAAACTAGATCAGATTGAGTAAGGGAACATCCAGCAGGCTCATTATTTAGAAAGAGACATTTTTTAATATCTTTAACACTAATGTTGCCACTGGATTTTTTTTCCTGGTTGTTAATTAAACCCTCTGTCAGACAGAAGCCCATGACTTGAAAGAGGAATTGAACCTTCCTTCAGAAGTCCCTGGAAAGGAAGTGCAGTCGTTCTTCCAGACCGGATTGCCTTGCCTCTACTTTCATCTTGGCATGAAATACATCAATCACTTTTTTTCACCCATAATAATGCAAGCAAGAGTCCAATAAACAGAGTCCTCATCCTCTGATGCTCAGCAATGAGCCATATGGCACATACATAATGGAAAATGAGCAAGGAGTTGAATTTTCTGTAACACGATTACGGTATAAAAGACTGCAACAGCACCTCCTTGTATGCTCATTTTGCACTTTGAAGAAAATAGGGATTTTCAGAATTTTGCTTCTGTGACTGCCATTTCATACTGGCTATAAAGGGATTTTGGTTGAATAGCAGAGCTCAGACAAGGAATGTTATTATTTAAGAATGGATTATACTTATGTGTTACCTAGAAAAACTCCAAAGAACATTATGAAAGTCCTCTGATTAAAACTGTGGGCTAGGATTAAGCGTATTATTTGTTTTTCACAAGTATGAGCTGTGTAACTTTTAAACCACCCTAGCTTTGCAGGTAAAAAGTGATGCTGGGAAGTGTTCACTCAGTGCAAGAATGTCTTATTATTGTGAGCAGACATTTAAGCAGAGCCCAGCTTTACCACTACCTGTTGTTGCACCTTAGTACCTTGGATTAGTACTCTGTCAGCTACTACTTTAGTTGTGCAGATATTATTTCTTAAGACTTTTCCTAAAAGTGTTTGCAGACTATCTATAAAAAAACCCGGACATATTTGACAGCATCCACCACCCCACTCCCTCTCTTCCACCACTTGCCATCAAAGGCACCGGCATGTGGATGGGAAGGAAGACCCAGCGCAACCCATCTAATAAAGATAGAGATCTCCAAACACACCAGCACAGGAAACACCAACTGATAGAGAAATACCTCATAAACTCGATGTATTTATAGCACAGTGTGGCTGTAATTGAGGAGAAGAACATTTTAACTGAGAACAAGAATACTGGAATTATTGAATGCAATTTTTTTGGTTGCTTTAAATATTAAATAGGTTGAGTTTCCTTCAATATCTTATCATTTAAGGCAAGAATAATTTCTAATTCCCAAAGACTCAAATCTTTATGAAAAGCATTATGAATCTGATCTATTTGAAATTCAGCACTAAAAAACAACAAATATGAACTCTTTCAAAGACATTTCAACCTAAATAACTTTTTTGACAATTTTTAATGCTAAAATTGATCAATAAATGAACATTTTTCTTTTGTTGTTTGTGTTATCCTACAAATGGTGTGTCAGAGACAGCTTGTCTCTGTATGTTTGACAACAAGAGAAGTAATGTGCTATTGCACAATTACATTATGTCCAAGACATGTTTCATTATTCTCTTATTCCAACATCTGGCTTCTCCCATGGGCTCTCTTGGACTGGTTTTTCCCAGACTTCATCCCAGCCTAGTTTCTCACTGGGGGCTCAGCCCCAGGACCCAACTGGCTTCTCAGCCCTGCATCAGCCACCATCACAATCACTTTCTCCCTTTCTTAATTACCTGTTTAAAATCAGATTGTTTAGACACATAAAACTTGCATTGAGTGGGTGAAGCATTTTTGAAATGTCACTGTTATCCTCTCATAGATGGTCTCACTTTCATGAGGTTAAAGACACTAATTTAAAAAATACAAAGCAGGTGGTGCAGAATGAACTACAATCAGAAATAAGCCATAGAGACACATGTAAGATGTTCTTCCAGATATTCCCCACTTACTAGAAAATTTCACATGTGGGAAGTCTTTGAACATTTTTGCTCTGAATATTTCCTAAGTCCTTTTTGCTCCCATAATACGAGTCCTGCTGTTCCCTCCCTTCTCAGAATACTTAAACCTTGAGCACACAGGGACTATGGCTCAGGACTGTGGCACTTAAAACACATGGCACCAGTTCTCTGATGGCCTGATCAGAAAGCAGGAATGCTCTACAAGGAGTGAACACCAAAACATTTCTTGTCAAAAAAAGAGAAACTCAAGTGCAACCTGAGCTTTCAGCTCACCTCCCCCACTACAATAAAGCCTGTCTCCTCTTGGTCTAATGTATGTGCCCCAGCGTGGTCTACAGTCCACCCACAGGCCCTCAAAAGTGAATTTCTGATGGCTCATGCCCTGGACATTGCTCTCTGCCAGTCTCTGAGTGGGTGCAGTAGCTGGAAGGGAGGCACAGGGGACTGGCCTTCAGTTACCCTTAAGAATCTAGTTTTCAAGTGACCAGCATCACAATTGGCTCCCCAGCTGCATAATCCAGGTCCTGTGCCACCATGCAGTACCTCACCAACACCTGCCACACAGCTGGGAAGGGGCCAGACACCAGCCAGCTCTGTCAAAGCAGCTAAGGAGTCAACCGACGTCCTCATGCTCTCCAAGAAAAAACCCTCTCCTTCGCTAGGCCATTGTGGTCACTTGCTTGTTAATATTTGTGACATTGGTGCTTTATGCATAACTGTATCTTACAAAGACCACAATACAACCCTTGGGACCAATGCTGCTGAGGACACCTGAAGTCGCACTACTGACACGGTCCTCTGGCTGACTGCTGGGTGCCCAGTCCCCCTGCGAACACACCAGCAAGGGGTGGCAGCTCTTGTCACCTTCCTGTCACAAATCAGGTACACACTGAAGTGGATGGGCATGAGACATGAGAAACCTCATAGCAGCCTTTGACACCAGCCTGATCTAGGAACACCTGTTTTAACTTGAAAACACACAACATCCACCCCAAGCTTTCCTGCTCCATCACAGAAACCAGAGATGGGAAAGGACTTCCAGAGCACATGCAGGCAGGTCCTGACTGCTCTGCGAGTGACTCATAAGGAACACTGCAAATTCAAAGTAAATGCAACGTGTTTTATTTGAGGTTGGAATAAATTACAACTGTAAAGCATATTTTATTGCTTTATAAATTGTCTGCTCTTAAAAGGCATTAATATCAAACATAAACAAAACAAAGACATTCGATTAGCAGTTCAGTTCTCTTAAGCTTCACGAACAGCTCAGTAAGGGGATTTCTTTATACGATTGGCCCATAAATTTGACTTTGACATGCACTGTCACCATTCATTCACCACATATTGAGGGGACTGTAGATGTATTCATTTGCTTTAGGGGATAATTTTTTAATGCAATTTTCTTTAAAATATCCCAGTGAGTCCTTCATTGCCTACTCAAATACAAATCCCATTGCTTTCAAAAAGTCTTTTAAAAGACATGTGGGGTCTTCTGTCCTTGCAGAAGGAGGGCTTCCAAGTCCAAAGTAGGAATGACTCTGGTCCCAAAACTAAGTGAAAAACAAACTCCTCCCACTTTAAAATACTGAAATCCCATGCACAAAAAACGTGTCCTCCCATTCTGAAGATTCTTCCAAAAAATTCCTGCATTACCTGAATGAACTGATGTGGAAAATTCATATTTTTATTGTACAGTTACTCCTTGCCTGAGGCTGGTATGAATTTTGCTCAGCACCTGTACTCCTCTAGGATGCAGACCCAGGCAAGTCCAGTCTGCCCTGAGCCCTGGGGGGTGAGAGGGTGCTTATGGGGGCCAGGTGTGCTCAGCACTGTGCAGTATCCCGCCCTGAATGCACAGATGCTATGACACAATGAGCGGGATCTGGCTAGCTCCAGCTAGATACAACAGGCAGAAAGAAGACCAAAAAGTCACTTCCTCGGCCTCCCAGGGAGTCACAGCTCCTGAATGACAGAAAGGGAATGAACAGTGATAAGCAGCTCTCATTCCACCACGGCTTCCTGTCTCACTCTGACCCTCTTGCACTGCAAGGGTCACGTGTTCCCCGTGCCTCGGCTCCAGAACTGTCTCCCTGAGTTATTCCTGAGCAGGGAGCATGCACCTCTGCTCGGCTGGGTCCGAAGCAGCACAAAATGAGCTGGCCTATGCCCTGTAAAACTCTGAAGAAACAGAAACGGACACTCCAGTCTCAATTAGCCCTTGGAACAACAGAGAAAGTTCGCAGAAAATATCTCCAGGGCAGCTTCTCTTCCTGCCACAAAACTAGCTTTAAAAATAATGAGCCACCAGTACAGAAAATCCTTCTAAAACTGGCTCAGTATCACTCAGAAAGTTCCTATTTAGAGAAGTGTTTCTTCTCATACAATGTTCTTGCCATGCCTACAAGAATGTGAATAGCTGAGCGAGAGTCTAGAATATTTTACATTACATTACTAGATGGGAATGGTTAAGTCTATCTCTGGATTCAAGAAATACATGTCAAACTTCAAAGAAAACACTATTACATTGATCCTGGTATTATTTCAGTTTTCATCAAAATTTCATCAGTAACATATATATCTTTTGTATGTTTTATGCATAATCTCATTAAAAAAAAACAGCAAAAAACTTTCTTCTACTAAACATGGTTTCCTCAGAGGATGTCTGCTTTATGCCATGAGGGATGGCCAGCTTTGATCTCTGCGAGGTGTACAGCAGATTTCAGATGCTGCATTGTCCATAATGGCTCCCAGCAAGTCAAGGGCCAGAGCAGAGCTTTGGTGGGATACCTGGAGCTGTACCAAACTGGATCACTTCTTCATCACCTTTCAGTGTCCTACTCATTCAGGGAGTGGACAACCCTGGTTCAGCTCCTAGCCACATATTAAAGTGCTTAGTGGGGGAGGGGGGGGACAATAATGCCCCTTCCTCCACCTCAGGTCCTCCTGTGGAAAGGTGGCTGGTTTGAGCCAGCAGGATACACAGCAGCTGGGACAAGGGCATGTGTATGATGTGCGCCTGATTCACCACATCTTAGAGAAACATAACTCAAAAACGTGCAAGCTTTTTACACTCATCAGTCATCTCATTCATGCTCACTGAGAACAGATTCTTGGCTGACTTCTTTTTTATCTTTGCAGCTCCAAATTTTACTTTGAAGATGAGAGGGGGGAAAGCTCGCCTTCAGGGAGAGGGACAAGCAGAGACACTTGCAAATTAAAATGTCTGCACATGTCAGCCACCACAGCAGTGACCTCCAGTCTGTTCTTTAGTTTTTTTACACAACTTCCTGAACCTTAATTTTTCAGCCCTTTCAAAAGTTCCCAGGAGCATTCCTTTCTATGTCAGTGGGATGTCTCAGTGGGTGAAAATTACAGCAAAAACTAAAGAAAGGAACACACTGCTGTCACCAGGATAAGTTACAGGGTTACATTCAAGCCACAGATTCTGGAGGGAGCAGACTTATTCCACTTTCTGGTGCAAGTGCCATACCAAACATGAAGCCGAGCACACAGTGAGAAGGAATATGGGCTAATTATTAGTGCACTGGACTAGGATTTGGCAGATGGAATTAATTCACCTTCCCCGTTTTCGTGAAGTAATCAGAAAAAGGAAACAATTTCTATTAACTTCAGGATGCTCAAGCATTTCCATCTCAGCAAATGCCCCTAAAATATTTCTCCTCTCTTTAGCAGTGCTTAACAGCTTACGCACTGCCTTTCTCAGACTGAGAACAACAGATATAAATCTTCTAAGGAATCGCACTTCTGGGAAAAAAAGAACCAACAAATTTCAGGATCGCTACATCTCAGCTAAGGCTCATTTACCCATCTGTAAAGCCTCTTACCACATCTGATCTTCACTCCCAAGCTGCCCTGCATTTGCAGCCAGAGAGAGCAGGAGCTCTTAAATACATTCGCATCTTTATTTCTAATTCTCCAGGTTTTGCCTCCATCAAGGCATGCAGGCCAGTACTGTCTCAGGCCGTTCTATTTAAGCACCTTTTGACTGACTGGGGACCATGTTCCTACTGACTGAAAAGCAGACAGGACAATCAGTGAGTGCATTTGAAAGCAAAGCTGTTAATCAGTGCATTTGCTCACGGTGAGGGCAGTGTTCAGCCACTTCACCAAAATACGGCAGACATATTAATTAGTGGTTACAAAATGTTCTAACTTTTCACAGACCTTTATAAATGCTGAGCATCTTAACAGGCAGGACAGCCGTGCCTGAGAATTCAGTCTATTGTTAGAAACTGACCTTTCTTTCTCCTACAGTCCTTCCTGTCATAAAGTGTCTCATGGAACAAACAAGTGTCTATGTTGTGATTATACCAATGGAGGAACAGAGATGGATGCTGGCTGGATCAGACACATGGATCTAAATGAATGATTTAGTCAAGCAAAAACTAAGTCACTTGATGCCAGGCCCAGTGCTCCATCCACACCACCAGAGGTTACTGAATAAGGGATATAAATAATCCCCCAAAGGAACTGATGTATCATGAAGGGCAAGGAGCCTCTGAAGCTATGCGCAGTGGCATAAAGTACAGCACAAGCACATTACATATTTAGCTCTTCTCTGTCACGGGGGCAGTGGGTTGCTCGGACAGTTGTCTTCTGATCAGCCTATTATGTTATTTCCTATAAAAATGCAGGTAAAGGTGTGTATATGATTCAGTAGTAGAACAGAAGTCTTGTTTCACATGGGCTGAATGTTTCTTATACCCAGATGAGATTTTTGCATGCATCTGCATACTCACCCAGATACTGCCTCTGCCGTGCTCCATGCCTGAGTTTCACGCCCGGTTACTCTGCGTAGCAGGCATATCATATGCACAGTAACCTGGTACAAGAGCACATTCTGCAGGCCAAGTCTCAGGCAAAAATTCACCCACAAAACCTAAGTGTATTGGCCATTTCTTGCAGTGAATCGGGCTTTCACTAGGAATTAACATAAGCTGCAATGACTAATCTTATACTCTGTGCACTTGCTTATTTTCTTTTCACAGTTCAACCTCTTTCTTCCTTAATACTAAAATGCTAAAGTCTTACATAGCATTCAGAGCATTATTTTCTGCTGGCTGTGTTTCGCTATGCTCTAAGCCTCTATCACAATGCATGCAAAGGACAATGGCTGAATTTGTAATGCTTTTAACTAAAAAAATACTTTTAAAAACATAAAACATAAATTATTTATTCCTCTTTGTCCATTGTTTTAAGCACTGAGTCTTCTCCCAGGATTTTACACAGTTCATTCAGTCTCTGCTGCATTTTAGGAATTCCTGCAAGCTGGGATTCCAGTCTCTGTTTTTCCTCACTCAGTGATAAACGGATAGCGGTGTCCAACTGCTCGAAACGCCAGCCACCTTGTCCATCAAACTGCAGCAAGTGAGTGTGGTACTTCCTGCAGTAGAAATTAAAACATTAGTAACGGCTCAGGGAACAGATGGTCCATTTTTGCAAACAAATTTGGATGTCTGTCTCTTCTCAATGGTGCCTCTCAGGAATTTGAGAGGTGTTCAGTCCTGGATCACTGGGCAAGACCTTTTCTTCAATGACTCATCATCCCGGGACAGTCTTGCGTGAGGGATTTGGGTATTTCAAAGTCTGTCACCAGGGCCCCCCTAGGCCATTCAGTGAACTTCAGCGGTGGGTGACCGCTGTAAGCTCTCGGCACCGCTGTGGGCTCCCAGTGGGGCAGACACTGCCCACATGGCCGGGCTCACCCAGGCCCTCACCTGCAGTGGTGGTTCCCTCATCATCTGCTGTCTCTGGCCTAGGTGGTGGCCTCCCTCCTGGAAACACTGTCTGTGGCTACAGTTGCCTTCACTTCAACTCCATCAGATGCCTTTTTCTCCAGGGCCTTGAACAGCAGCGACAGACACGGTTTGCTTCTCCTCAGGAATGCTAGTCCCAGTTTATTTTATTTACCCTGCTTCCTGAGAGATGTCTTACCTCCTTAGTGGAAAATACAGTGAGGCAGGCACAGTGCACCTGCTGCTACTGATAAAACTTGAGTTTGTTCAAATTACACTTCAGTTTGTTCCCTGCATCTTATAAGGCTGGCTAAAGGCACCTTCAGTCCTAAAACATGGTTTGATTTGCAAGGGGCCAAAATAAAAAAGTCTGTGTAGGAGTCACAGATCTTTCAGTGAGTATCAGGGTGTGTGCACTGAAAATATTCAAAGGTGTATATGTGGAGTTTGTCAAGACCTGACAAGACATTTTTCAGGAGGTACAAGACCAAGAGCAGAGAGTTCCCTCAGAGCTGCTGGTATGACTGTGTAATTTATCACTATAAATTACAGAAGATGAGATGCATCATAAAACACTGATTATAAATCCCATCCAGGGAATGTGACAGTTTAATAAACTCAATGGTTTATGACGTGGGACTCAAAAAAGATTCATCTCCAGACTTACACTGAGCACTTCCTGCATATTATTCTTTGTGACCCCATCTATCCCTCTATTTTTGCCCCACCAAAACCCAAAAAATCAAGAAGCTAAGAGCTGACTGAGATGTCCAGTGTCTGTGGTCTAGGAAAGTTTTAATAAACATTTAGATTAAAAGAGCAAATATTTCCTGGTATAATCTTGAAGAGGAGAAAATAGCATGTGAACATGTTTTTTTTTACTCTGCAGTGCAGTCCCCGTGAAAGCATACATAAGTTAAAGGTGCGCTTATTTCTAAATACTCAGCATTTCTGTTTACTTCTCCAGAACCACACAAATCACCAGATTTCTGATCATTTCAGTAATACTGTGGAGATTACAAGAGCAATCCCAAGCCTTCCTGAATAGCACTAATACTAGGAAACAAGAAATATTGGTAAGAAACTGAACTCAAAAGGTCTTTCTCAAAAGGTCTTTTGAATAACTTCCCTCTTATAATCATTTATGGTGAGATGCTCTCAAATAGCTGTTTTCTTGAGCAGTGGTTTTAAAAAACCTCCAAACCTAAACAAAATGAAATATTTCTTTTCTTTATAAGTGTAATTTAAATTATTTTAAAACCAAAAGTCTATGTGAACTTTTTTTTTCTATCAGAATACTCATTTTTTCTTAACATTTAGGTCTTGATTCAACAAAAACCATTTCCACTGTCATCACCTACATAGAGGAAGGAGGAATGCTAGGGAAACCATTCCTTTTCAGAGAAGCAAACACTGATACAATTTCTTTCCTTTGAGGCAACATACTAATAATGGATTTTTTTGTCATCAGTTTAAAAAAAGCAAACAGCAGGATCTAGGAGTTCAGAACAAACAGTCTCTGCTAAAGTTATCTTACACCTCCTTGGTCTCATTTTGCCCTTGGTCTCATTTATACATTAACTACATTTATTTCCTTGCAGGGACTCTTCTATACTTAGTACTCCCTCCTAGAATGATGCTTCTCAGAATTCCAATATTTCTTATTTTAACAGATAATCATATTTGAAAGCTCACAAATGCTGCAGATAGAGAACATACAATTGAAGTTAAAAAGCCAGATGTATTACTCCTATGGAAGAACAAGGAATAATTTAACCACTTGGCAAGTTTCCCATCTTCTCCCCGCACTGCTAAACTTCCCCAGGACACCTCATGTATCTTGTCACCTTTACAGAACAACCTGGTTATATCTGTTGTGGCTGTGGTGTAGACTTATTAATTGCATCTCAGACACTTGCATGCTAATAAAAAAATAAGAGGGAGGAATAAACAAGTTTCAAAGAATTAAAAAAATCAATGCTAAATTAATTTAAATCACTATAGCTGTAGACAAGTTATCTTAGAAAGTGCAGTAGATACTGATTAAACAACTGCCCTAGTAGAAAGAGTAAAGGCCAATCCACTGCCTGTCAGAAAGCTAAAAGCAAGGACCATGATAAAGCCCCAAACATACTTACCAAAGAGAAGGTCTGTGTGTTATGGAAAGTAGGGATATCCCAGCAGCTTTTGCAGCTTGGAATATCTTTCCTTCGACGTCAATGCTTACAGCACTCGTACATTCATCCAGCAATGCATATTTCGGCCTTTCAAAAGCAGATGAAGAACATTCTAGGTTTTGGACAGTATTCCCATGCATGATGTTTCATTGCAACAACAACAGAAAGGAGAGAGCTATTTTTGCCAGACAGCTGTCTCTCATTTACAGCTGGAAGCTGGCTAGCAACAACATAAACTTTCCATGCATTATTCAGGTGCAGAGACAACTTCCAGGAAAAATGGGGTTTATTTCCTGGTCCATCTGAGTACACAGTGATCTAAATATTATGTCCTAGTTTGACCTAGGGTTATTTTGTCCTATCAGCAAGTTGGGCAGTAGATACAGCTGACTCAGCAGCTTTCTGTGGACTGCCATGTGTGGACTGGGCTGTCTTTGTGTGCTTGCAGTCTCCAAAAACAAAAGGTTTTGGAGCTTGGCTATCAAACTCCAAGAGCTTCTGCAACAGTCCATCAGATTTCTGCCACAATTGTAGGAGGGAAGGTGTTTGTGCCTGAGATGTTAAAGAAGTTAATATCTCGAACAGGTAATGTTATGTTGCCAAAAGCAAAGCTTAAGAAACATTGCTCAAACTAAAGGCAAAGCTTGTATGAATAACAACAAGGTTTATGCAGGTCCTATGCAGCTGTCTGGCAGCGTTGCATATTGCAGATTATAGCCTACTACAGCTCAAATTGTAACAGGAAACCTGCAAAACCCTTCCTCATTTTCAAACGCTACTTAAGGAATGAATCTTAACACTTACCTGTGGTAAAACATCCGAGCCATGCCCATCCTTTGTTTTTCTCCTCCTGATAAGACATCTTTCCAATCCATGATGGCATCCCAGCCTTTTAAAAGAAATGCAAATAAAATGAGTCAGGACAATGTAAGTTTATGAAGGAAATTTAGCTTCACTTGCAATATCTCATAAAGAGCAATTCCACTGCAGAAGAGATAGCTCAGGGTTCTGGATCACATCTTCTGAAATACCTCAATGCTTTTCCACTGGCCATCAACTGGAAAAATGTCCCTCGTATCATGTAAATTTCGAAAGTGGAGTTTAACCTTTTGGTCATGTAGATATTGTCAAAAAACTTCACTTACCGTCTCTTTGAAAAAACTCTTTGACCTGTAACTAATAATTTTATTCTGTCATGTTTGTTTCTTGAAACAATTTGCTATTTTTTCTTTAAAGTTATCAGTGGAAATTTAAAAACAAATTAAAATAAATTAAAAAAAACCCAAAGAGCAGTGCTGGACTGCATTCACCACAGTAGGCAAAGAAAACTGTCAGCAAACTCAACAGAAACACAGCTGCAGACACGGACAAGCAGCAAAACTGCACAGAGACAGGAGGATCTTCTATACAAATTTCCCACTACCTTGTATTTAGAAATAACCCACAACTGCTATAACAGGGGGTATCCTTATTTAATATTCTGCATGGCCTCTAACTGATGTATTTCTTTATCACTTTCAGATACATGCAATGGGAGCATGAGGCATTTTATCTGCAATTCTAGGGCAGACTGGTGTTCTGTGAGTACTCTGGCATGATTCATTCCCACTAATGAAAAACTTCAAATAGAAACTACCCTACTGAAAATAAGTCTTCAGTCAAACAATCCAGATGTATAGAGTAGCAAAATAAATGAGTTTTGAAAAGGGAGAGTGTGGATGTAGCGAAAATCTGATAAGACATTTCTCTCAACAGATCATCTCATGAGACAAGCAGCTGAAGCAGGGCCGAGAAAGAGAACATTTTCCAAATCAGCCCAGAAACACTGTAACTAAAAAGTTAAAACCCCTTTTCTGCCACTGCCAAACCGAAAATAAACATTTGCCAGAAAAGACTATAAATAAGATAAAGCAAGGAGGATGGGCTGTGTCATTTCTGGTAACTGAATAAAAGTGAGGCAAAAGGGGCTTGTGAAGGTGTAACAGGCTGGGGATTGTTCTGCCTGTGCTTGGGCTTGACAGGACTGAAAAAACCCTCAGTAAAGCAGGGGGCCTGTGTGACCAAAACCAGGAATTGATAACTTCAGACTAAATTTCAAGAATTTTCTCTATGTCAAATTGGAAAATATAATGGAATGATTTTTAAATAAATATGTATATAGTTAGATTTTAAAGCCAGGCATGCACACAGAAGAAAGACATCACCTGTAGTGATCCTATAGTTTTTCCCTATTTTCCTTCCATTCTTGTTTCAGGATCCCAGTGGATATCCTCCCAGGGGCACATCCAGTGCTTTCTATGAGCAGGCTACAAGCAAAGATGGAGTTGTGTAGTGTAGTGAATAACTGAATCACCATTTGGATATACTCTGGTAAAGGGAACAGATATACAGAGGCTGCTATTGCTGAGCAGTCCCGGTGCTGGGACACTTTGAGCTTCCAAAAAACACTGTAAAACACCTTTTGGCAAAGGGTTCTAGGAAGGGATGGGAACAGTCCTTCATGAAAGCCATAAAAACAACTATGCTTCTAAATACAACATTCAAGCTGCTGCTTATGTTCTGTTATTTTTAAGCTGAGAATACAGACGAGCTCCAGGGACCAGGATCTGAGCTAGGGTGTGGGTGGGTGTGCATGTGTGCACATGTGCCTGGGGAAGCAGTGCCTGTGTTCATACAGTTTCTTCCTGATCAGCTGGTTTTTAAAGGCTTATTAAAAGACAAAAAGGGAATGAAGTTCAAGAAGAATCACAGAATATGTTGAGTTGGAAGGGATGCATAAGGATCATTGAGTCCAACTCTCAGCCCTGCACACGACAATTCCCAGGAGTCACACCACGTGCCTTAGAGTACGTGGTGCGGCATGAAGAAGCATCCTCTTGTCAGCGAAATCATTCTATTATTTTCTCTAAAGGTGTAAGATTTACCCTCTTTTTACCAGGATACAATGGTCATCTCTGTGGTCACTTCAACTGAACATGAGAGGTGCATCTTGTCTCTTCCTGCCTAGCTCCCTCCCTGAACTTTTCCATTTCCCACTTGGAATGCCTCAAACAACAGATAAGGAAGTGTGCATTTTTATATTACCCCTTTTGAAAATTGTTTTCTAATGTCTGAACAATTTCCTCTGAACACTTAGGCATTGTAACTCACACTAAACAGACTCCCCACTGTGCACGAACAATAGTGCACCTACTTGTCTCCCGTTTCTTCCTGCTGACGTGGCATAGGTCAGTGAAGGTCATTAGCATTCTGGAAATATCAGCCAAGTCAGCAGCTTAGGTCACCCACGGCTAGATCCACTTCCCAAAGGAAGAAATGAAATGGCTTGCCCATGAACCCAGCACAAACCTCTCAGTAGGTGCAAACACAGTCCCAGCTTTCGGAGTCCAAATTCCTTGCCCAGCTTCTTGTTACACACAGCCTTGATGTAGATGTGATGAACACTGGATGTCACAGAAATGCCTTTTGCAGCCAGTAAGAGCACATATAATGTGCTGGGGCACACTAACAGCAAGAGAAATACATACAGCTGTCTGCAGAAACCACTGATAGCCTCATGATAGCAGCATCTTGCATGGTTTCTTTTATAATTCCTTTAATCTCAGTTTTCTGAAGGAAAACACAAGCTATATTTCACAACAAAAAAATGGTTACACCTGGGATCTGTAGCCCTCTGTATCTTTCATCCTTCTGAATACAAGGATTTCATGCAAGACAGAGCATTCAGCTGCCATGAAAAGATATGCTTAAAGTTTCCTTTTTCCAGATTTCCATTCCAATGTGCCTTATCAGACATGGACTGGAGCATTATCTGACAGAAGAAAGGCTAACACAGCCAGAGAGTCCACCCCTGGTGAATTTTTGGGCATGGAAGCCTCTTGCACAGCATATGTTCTGAGCACTTGTCCAAATGGAAGAGAGCCCGGGTGCTGTGCAGGATGAATATGCAAGGGCAACCCAGAGCTGAGGAAGGAACAAAGAGACCATCAATTGTATGAACCCCAGCTCAGCGTGACACTGCAAGGATTTGTGTCTCTGAATTGCAGAGCCACTGGAAAAACTGGCAGAGCTCTTCCAGAGTTCCTGTTGGTACCAGTAACAAAAGTAAATCCAGGGCTAAAACTATCAGATGAAAAAATGTCAAAGAGAGGAAATGGGCTTGTCTGTGTGTTTATATGTGGCCTAGCACAAAGGTTCCCTGGACAAGACCCAAAGATATGACAAATGTGCAAAATAATGAGGAATAATTATAATCTGGGGTGCTGAGAAACCATAAACAGGTTGAACTTGCTCAGTAATGTCATCAGCCCTAGCCAGACAGGCCCGGTCATGCGTTCACTGTGCTGCTACACGTACTCATGGCTCCGCTTGTGTCACAGGCTGTTGGCAGCCTAAGGCTGCATCACAGCTGACACTTGCTAAATGTACACGAATTTTCAAAGCAGGCCAAAAGGAACCACCTTAGATATATCTACAGCACATCTCCATGATATTACCCCCGATTTCTGAACATGCTTTTTCACCACCCACGCTGAATACAACCTTCTTTGCTACCCACATTTTGTATGAAATTATGGTTCTGGTAGAGCTAGCAACTTTGCAAGTGTTGAGGGGGCACCTTACTGACAATATAAAGGTAAGTAACAAAACAGCATTCCTCTAATATCCAGCAAGTGAGAAAAACATTAGTGTGGGCCTCAGGAGAAAAGGAACTCTGCCTCCAGCAGCAAGGGGGGGTACTGTCAACAGCCACTGCACTGGGTTCTTCGAGGGCTTGGGCTCAGTGACATCCACAACAGTGGTGGTGGAGAAGGAGACTGTTGTTTAGGTGGATTTGATGTATTCTGTTGATACTAACTGAAAAAAGTTTCATGAGGGTAACACAGAAGCTAAATGCCAAAAACTGGGCTATTAATTCTTGTAACCATTCTATTTATTTCTAACCGGGTCAAACAGTATTGGTAGAAAAAGCAGAATTTCTGTCCTTGGCTGCAACAAGGACAACGTCAGGCTCTTGTTGGCTACTTTATACTTGGAATGTGGTGACCCTTGTACTGTGCAATGTGGAAGTAATTCAGCTAAAGACAATTAAGTCACGCCAGAACAAATAATTTGAGTCAGAGTTGTGTACTTCTGGCTCCATTTGGCTTTTTCATAACTGCCCACAAAGAGCAGAACATAAAACTGCAAAGCATCAGATTATACACACATGACTTTCGTGGTCAATTAAAGTACAAGAGAGTCATGCCCTAAGGAGCCTGTTGCCTGGTTGAGCTTAATGCTGCAGGGGATAGGAGAAAAGGGGAGAGACAGAGGTAAGGCTCTGAGGGAGAAGAGAAATAAATATTGAAGAATTATATTAGATTTCTATAACTTAATGATTGACAGATAGTTCACTCCATTTTTAGAACAGTTAAGGAAATGGTTCAAAATAGCATTGACATATCCCATATATCCACATGGATCTGAGTAACTAAGAATGATTTCTTTTTTTTTTTTTTCAGATGTAGTACATTTTCCAAAAGTGTATATAATATATAAATAGAAATTTGCTGGGAATTTTTCAGCAAAAGGTTTTTCTATTGTAAAATGCCAGTGTCTGTCAAGCATCAAAGCAGTTTGCTGAAAGGACAAAGGTGGTTTGGGGCAAATCCTTTGTTCTACAAGCTTTATATGGGATTTTTCACTATTTCACAAAGAATAAAGCTCCATTTTTAATAAAGATAATTCTGGTTTAAAAGTAATATTTTAAGTAAAAGAATAAAATAAAAACTGGCACTAGAAATATTAATCTGTGTATAAACAAAAAATTTCAATTGTTCACTTTCAACAAGTATTTCTCAGTCCTGCTAGTTCAAAAAAACCAGAATATGAGTCTTTGTTCCAGACCAGGACAGCTTTAAAAAATATGTGAGCATATGAAACCTGAGTAATGTGTCAAATCATATGTCAAGGCTTTCCTCTCTGCTCCTACCTTGGCACTTGTCTCCTGCAAATGCTCAAGGAGAAGAGGGAACAAGTAAGTATATTATGGTCCTAAAAACTTCTGGTATGTGGTAATCTCCCTTCTTGTTTTCCGGCTTTGCCCCTTTCTGTCACTTTAGATCACAAAGTATCTAAGACATGTTTTTTTCCAATGTCTGTTTGTGTGAACTTTTGCACAGTGTGCCCCTACCCCGAGCTTCAGTAGAGCACCAGTGAACATTAACAGTGTCCTCCAGACTTTTTAATAGATTGTGTGTGTTGTGCATGTGCAGTCAGACAGACAGAAGAGCAAAAATGGGGTCAGCAATAAGTACTTTCTTTGGCAGAGAAAGCAGAGCGAGACTGATCCAAACCTGGGGTTTCAGCTTGGCAATACAGAACAGTGACTCTGGCCAAGGCTCTTGTACAGAGCACAGTAACTGCCCCACCATCAGTTACATGCTCCAGCTGCAGAGTCAGAAACCACAATGATGAACATTCAGAGACTGCTGGGGGGATGGTTTTGGCTGCTGAGGGTTATGTGTTGTTCAGTGCATCTACAAGTACCAACACACAATGAATGCACACTCCACAGTAACTTCTTGCCACTGGCAGTTTAATTGCTCCTCCTTTTCCAGTTCCCTAACACTTCCGCTTGTTCTTCTGCAATCTGGGCACTTCATCGACTGAAGCAAATGGCTCAGGAATACTAACAGGAATAATGTCAGTGCAGGGAGTAGAGGCCTTATCTGCAATTATTCCGATCACTGAGTTTAGCTCTCTGCCCACTTTTTCAATTCTTGTGTCATAGGATCAGATCTGAACAAAAATATGAATCAGAATGATGGCAGATTCTTATTTTCTATTGCAACTCAAGGGCCAACAGTCATTATCACATTCTTAATAAAAAAGCATTAACCTATGGAAAGATGAGAGTCTAACAAAAGGATTGCAAGGTGAAGTATACAATTGCTGCTATAAACAATTACAACCTCCCACTCTAAAATGTGCAGAAAGACACTGCAGTGTCCATTGCATACTTCAAAAATAAAAGACACCTTCTGCCTTTTGAACAGAGCAACAGGTTGCAATCCAGAAATGGGAATTTAGACATTGCCTTGGGATTCCCAGTGGCTGAAGCACTACTCTCTATTGTCAGAAAGATCCTGAGAGTAATCAAGCACATACATTACAAGGCAATGCACCCAAAGTACCTGCTCAAAAAGGAGTCTTGACAGCTGGCAGAGAGAAGCAGGGTACATTCAGCACTCGCAAATCAGCCCCTTAGAGTGGTTTAAAGATCTTTTTTCTTTTCTCTAAATGTTACCAACTTTGTCCTGTGTCTGTTTTAAAAGCATAATGAAGGGGAGGACATTGAAACTAGAGATTAGTGGCTGGTAGGAACAGAAGGACAGAAATTATTGCTATGCTTGGGGGAAAAAAGCCATGAAATGCTCCAGTTACTTAGACACAAAAGAAAACTTTAACATCTTGATATTTATAGTGCCATTGTATTTACATTGTCCCCTACTCTGAGAACAAACAATGCTGAGAACACATGGCAACTTAAATAGCAAGCAGTAGATGGCAACACTCTACTGCCAGCCAGTGTTGTTTGGTTATTTTTAACTTGCTCACTCTGCTGGGGTGGTATCTGACACTTCTCATGGCACATACTCCTGGTGATCTCACAAACCAAGGAGGTGAAAGCAGATCTGACTCTCTCTTCATTCACATGCTTTAAAGTTTATGTAGTCAGTGACATTACAAGATATTAAGACAGGTTACATTTTCTAAGAAAATGATGGAAGGCCAGTGATCTCACAATACCAGGAAAAGACTGGCCATTACAAGAGAACAAGGATGTGATGTTCAGCTTGGGCATGGATTTACTGAGGAGGGGAGGAGAGGAGCACTCAGCTCTTCTACCTCCCTTAGCATAAGTTAGCAACAACCACGTGGCTGTGCAGCTCCCAAAACCACAAAAGGCCTGGATCCAGTTTTGCCAGTTCAGTTAGTGAAGGTCAGTCACACTAAGATACACATGCGAGAAAAGGATTTTGTAAAGCTTTTTACAAATATATGCAATTTACCTCCTTCTCTTTGAACTATGTGGTAGAGATGAACCATCTGCAGAATAGACTCCAGATCTTGGTCTTGGTAGCCTTTCTCATGCATGTCATCCACTGAGTCTGGATAGATGACCTGATCACGTAGCGTTCCAATGGACATGTAGGGCCTGAGTAAAAATACAGAGAAACTGGTAATATGAGGTTGGCTTCCAGGAAGCACATCTTGCTGATGCTCTATGAGCAGAGTATAATGCTTTAAACACCACGTTGCTAAAACTGGATTTATCCAGTGGATGCATTGTGCTTGAACACTTTTCTAACCTTACCCTAGGGACAATGTATTGTTTCCACAATAGTTGATTACTGGGTAGCAACAGGGGTAGTGCTAGCATGGAAACACAATGACAGATCAAGCAGAATAAATATCCACTTTATAGTCCATTCTGGAATCAGTGAAATTATGCTGTATTCAAGGTTTGATACTCTAAGAGATTTAGAAATTGATTTAAACACTCACATGTTAAGAACAAGTTGTAACAAAAACATTGCATCTCAAACTGGGAAAGAATTCCATGGTGCAGGAGACACCTGAGTCAGGCACTGAAAGCTTCCTTTGCACATTACTATTCCAAAGTGCAGAATTGTGACCAGGCATAACTTAGCTGGCTCTAGAAGCCTGTGTAACACTTCTGAATTGCAAAATAGCATACATTAGAGAGGCTGATCACATTAAACCTCCCAGAACCAGCCTCCCTTTGCCAAGCACAAGGCTGTGCTGTATGTGAAGCAGCTTCTGAATCACCATGTTTCCAGACCAGGTAATACCATCTGTCTTACTAAAACAAGCTGTCTCCAATTTGAAGCCAGAGTTCTCAGTCATGGTTGTGTCTCCGGAATGGCTATGGACAGTTTCCACAGTGACATGAGCTGTGCCCAGCCCAGGCCCCAAAAATCCTCCTCATCTCAAATAAAGTAAGCTGAAAGAACAGCTTCACAGCTTTCTGAAAGATACCAGGCCATTCAGGCTAGGATAGCAAAGGCAAGCTAAGATACATCTATTTGACCATTTCTTTTTTTGCTCCTTTTCTAAGGATTTCTTGTGAAGGACAGATCTCCATCCTGTCCCACAGATACTGCTGATAGCTCTTGGAAGCTAGAAACACTCCAGGGACAGTCTGTGAGATTCTGAGTTTGGAAGGGAAGGCCAGAGCCAAAGAACAGAGCCTCCAGACTCTGTCTTGCTTTCTCTGCCAAGAGTTCCACTAACTCCCTCTGGGTTCATCTGCTAAAACAATGCTGGTCTTATTAAAGCTGTGGTGTCAGGGGATGATAGAGAAGAGCAAACAAAACTGGGCCAGCAATGAGGAGGCTTTAAGGCAGCTTGCTCTTGACACCAAGAACTGCTTCCAACAACTTCACAGTGGACTGACAAGAGGCCACTTTTCTTCCCTAAAGTGCTCTGGACCTGTGTGGTGGGAAGGTCTCAGCCATGCAGAGGCTTTGCCTGGCAGAGATGTGTAATACCAGGGCAGATTTATTCCCTTCCCTTGGAGGGGTCTGCAGAAGGGGCAGATTTACCCGTTGTTATTCTGAAGTCTCTACAATACACCACAGAGTAAGGTGAAGGAATTAACAACGCAACAAACGAAGAATTACGGAACTAAAGCTGCAATATGAACTAAAAGTCAAATGCAAGCTGGTATCAACTGCAGTGGTTTTAGTGCTGCAAACATCCATGGTGAACTGTCTGTACCTGCCCATAGTTCAACTACTTTCACGACTAGCTGGGTGAGGGTGGGAAGGGCAGGGGTTCTGAACTGCTTGCAAATATTTGGTCATCTCCCTGTTGTGGCAAGCACCCACATGGAGCAAAACCAGAACCACAAGTCAAACACAAGCACTGCTGCTCCTCTTTGCTCACTGTTCTGCCTTCTGCTTATTGTGGGAAGAGTGTCGCTCTGGGCTGCTGCATGAATACTAGCACCAAGTGCAGTGAACCACTTACATTTATTGGGATATTGCAAAATTTCAACTCTAAATATTAAGTAACTTCATGAAGTAACAATATATTACATTTCTGTAGTGCTCTCCATCTATAATCCCAAAGGGCTTTACTTGTTGCATATGTAGAAATCACTTCACTTGCTCCAGACTGCTGCCACCTCTGGGACAGAAGACAGCAGCTCCACCTGTACTCAGAAAGGTTTAAATCAAGGTTGTGGATAACACCATGTAATTTAGGTGAAGCTGCAGGTAAGGGCAAGCAGGACAGAGTTATCATGTAATTTGTCTGGGGTTTTAATACCTTACTCTTGTGAAGTAGGATCTTGTAATGACTAGCAGCTCTGAGATTTAACCTACAGCACAATCAGGAAGGCAATGCTCAAAAGCACTGTGCCAGGACACTTGGTGCCATGCTGTTTACTGAGTCACCAGCACTGCTTCCTGGTACAGCTGGATTTTCCTTGTGGCCTCCCATCTAAACACGCCAGCACTACCAAGCATGCCTCTCCCCACCTAGTTTGTGAAAATTAAAGAAAAGCCCAGCCTGCAGTGGAGTAACAAATCCCATCAATTACTAACTAGCAGAGAAAACAATGGCTTATGATTACAGGTCTGCCCTGGGAGGTGGGGGAGTATGTTCTCCTTCCCCCATCCCATAGGAAGCCACTCATGTCCCTGAGGGGACACTTCACCTTTCTTGGCATGAGATTTCTCATTTTGTGCTCCAAGCCTTGACAACAAAGAGAAGCACCTCTGTAGTTGGTTTATGTCATTCATTTAAGGGTGGGGATGGATTGCTACCTTCTTGAGGGGTCTTCTCCCTCAATGGGGGGTCACAGCCCAGACAACTTAGATAATTAACTTCTAAACTGCTAAAGTTAGATGAGATCTCAACTAACTCATACTTTCATAATCTCAGACTAAACCAGAATTCTCTAGCTGTAGCTTGAAGACAATAACCTCCTTACGTACCATGGGTGCCACAAAGTTAAATGCACTAAAACCTGTTAAACATCAGATGTTATTGTAATTGAGGTTACATGTGTATGATAGACATTAAACAGTAAGAAGTACGGGTAACTGGATACAGCAACAGTGAAATTTTGGCTTTGCCAGTAAGCTCCTTGTTAAAATACTGTTTTCATTAATTTTTTAGCAGTTCAAGCAACAAAAACAGTCTTTTTGTCCTAAAGTAATACTCGAGTTTAACTGAACTGAATTGATTTCTGATGGAGTTTTTCCTTTCAGCCACAATGTCTGGGTTCCAGTTTCAAAGAAAGCACTCTTAAAAAGCAACTCCTCTGCCATGCTGAGGTCATGTCTTTGACGGTAATAGCTCTGCAATGGTTTTCTTTCTTTCTTTGCTTTCTGAAAAAAGATTTCTATGCTGCTTTTGAGATACAGGATTTAAGATCAGTAATCCTTTTTTAAAGCTTTGGTATCAAACCTCCAGAAAGTTAAGAAAACTTACTCGTTCTTGCCCAGTTTTCTGGAATATCAAGGCATTTATTGGAAGAGACACTTTCAGTTCTCATAAACTGATGCCTTTTCAGTCAGTTTGATGGCTTTATTACATCACTAATTTTAGTTTGGTGCACTTAGCACTTCACCTTGTAGCATTGTAACTTCTTGTAATACTGCTAGAACTTGTAGTTCTCCTAGAAACAAGGAATCATTACTAGGGTTTACAGCTTACCCCTTGCAGTGCAAGGGGGGAAGAAAGATGATATCAAGACATGCTGCAACCTGTAGTATGGACAATTCCCCAGGGCCCTACTGACACATGACATTGTGTACAATGCTGGCAAAATAATAGAAAAATCATATGGGAGGAAGAGCAAGTGCTGCCAATGATATGGTCTCTTTGTTGCAATTGCTTTGGGAAGGAAGAAGGGGGCATGTGCTACAAAACCTAGTACAGTACATACCAGTCACTTATCTTTCCAAACAGAGGACTTGCATGCTGGAGCTGTTAGGCACAGAGAAAAAGGTATAATGCAAATTCAAAGGACCTGTAGATACACAGGCACACTGTAGCCAGGCTCTACTAACATCTAGTAATGCTCTGATGTCTTGAAGAGCAGAGGACTTCACACTTTTGGGTAGCAAGTTAAGGAAGACGACTTGCTTAGATGCCAAGAAATTTCTGCTCCAAAATCAGAACAAGCCATATCCACTTGAAATATTTACAAATACTTCCTGAATGTATTCAAAGGTGTTTTCATCTTCCATGCAAATAAACTGCGCTGACAGAAATTATAATCTGTTCTGACATCCACAATCTTATTTTAAAGAATTACAGCAACTAATCAATATGGATTTTAAGAGTTTCTAAAGCAACCTGAATGGTCAGAGTCTTAACTCCAAGCATCGTGGAATACGAAAGGGACCAAAAATAAACCTTAATTAAGTGTCTGGCATCAGACGTTAAAGGATATTAGTCCAATGTAACTGCCCTAGGAACTGCTTCCAGGTACAGTCTAAAGCTCATCTCACCTTCCTTGGCACAGGCTGTAATTAACACTTCCTCCATGGAAGGTGAAGTCTAAAAACATGTGGCTTGTGATTCTGAGACCCATTTGCATGGCCCCAACTGCACAACTCATACCCCATTTGCCATTCACTGTCCAAGTGTGTTTGCAGTAATGATCGCACTATTATTCTCATAGATATGCAAATTTATGTGGGAAAATTATGTGCAATGCAACTATAAACACTTGACTGACCTATTTTATAAGCTTCTGTTTCTGGCTGACAAGGTGCCTGTCTGATACATCCAAGTGGGAGAGAAAAAGGGGAACACTACACCTGGGATTCTCCTTTTCAGATAAATTGCAGCTTGGATTTTCAAAGGAGATTGGGATGGCTTCGGAGTGCAATTCAGAGTGCTTGCTTTGACAACTAAAATAAAATGTATTCCAAATTTAGGCACCTCTATTTAAGAAGATGATACTGGAGTCCAAACCCCAACCAGGGAAGTATCTTCCTCAGAAACCTGGAAGATCTTTAGAAGTCAGGCCTTGCACTGAAGAATCGCCAGTCCAGAAAACCAAATGTTGTCTAATCCCCTGAAGGTCCAGCACAGCATGGAATATGAGAGCAACAGTTTTAAGTCCAGCACAAAACACCGCAGCTACTAGAGATGCAAGAGGAGGGGCTGTAT